TACGATTGTCGGAGAATTTTTAAAATTTGTATATTTCGAAATTCAAATTTATTTTTATTTTACCCCTGTTTGGTGGAGATTAAAATCAAATTTTTAGTAAATTTTGGTATAAATTAAATAGTTATGAATTTCATGAAAATATGTTATTAAAATTAATTGTTAACTTTGATTTAGATTAAAATTTAAATTTCAATCGATAATAAACGTGATTAAAAAAAAAAAAAGAAAAAGAATATCAGAAGGACCCCCCTTGGGTCCGATGGGTATGTAATGTATGTGTGTGTGTGCATGTAACCCCTCGTACCAACGCCAACTGCCACCACTTCCTACTCAAACCCTAACCCCACTTCCACCCCCTACATATGTACACGTACGTACGTACGTGTATTATGTAATGTATGTGTGTATGGTGAACACGGAATGAACAATTCTTTTGCATAGTAACCTTATAATCCTAGATATAAAAACAGGAGCTGGTGACTGGTTTAAGTGCAACATTTTCTCATTGTGCTTGGCTTGTATTCAGGCACCTTATTCAGCTTACAAAGAGAGGTGGGAACCCCCTGGATTTTGAGTTTGTTGAACACCATAAAGTATGTTCCTCTGCAATCCCTTTTTCCTCTTTTTTACTAACTACAGGTGCTGTATACCATTCTGATGTTATCCATGTCTTTGAATAGACTCCTGCTTTCACATTCACATCTTTTGGAGAGGAGGGTGTATGGAATGTGGATGGCGAGCTGTTTCTAGCCCACCGACTCTCTGCTCAAGTATTTCGAGGCCTTGTTAGCTTGTTTGCAGGGGGGCCCGTAGCATAGCCATTTCTCAGAAATGTGCATATTGTACCATATCCATATTCACGACTTGTGTCTACTAGAAATCTAATGAACACTGTTGCTTTATGGTCCTCAAGTAATTAATTTCTCAAGGATAGATACTAAATTATAGTGATGATGAATCCTCTTTGTTGGAAGAATTGGTCTCTGCATCCTAGCCTATAGCAGAATTTTGCATGTGATGATACTGTTGCTGAGCTTATCCAAGAATGCAGCTGTTGTTGGTATGAAGAGACGAGATGGGAAAACCAATCTGCTTTGTGGAAGAGGAAAGAAATTTGTGGCTAGTTCAAAACTCATGTCAAACACAGTGGAAGGTAATGATGTTTACCTCATGACGGGATTTATTAGGTCTCGAAGAAGCAAATATTAGCATCAACCCGTCTCCTGGATATTGCATCTTGGTTACTGGCCTTGAGAAAGTTTTGGAGTTACTCTTCAGATCCGTGTTAAACTCAAGGAAAATATCTCCGTTTAATGCCATTATCTTGATGATCATTGGCTGCCTATATGTTCTTAGCATCAAATAGAGAACTTGGCTCATGATTGGTCCAGATAGATGTTTGTTGCCCGTGTGGATGACTAAAAGTGTCTTTTTTTCAAATTTCTAATAATATAAATATTAATGCATGTTTGGTATTTATTGGATTGGGTTGGTTGTTGCTGCTTGAAGATTTTAACGCATATTTATTTGAAGTAGTTCTTATGAGTTGCTTTCAAATTTCTTCCTACAGTTCTACTTTTTCTTGGATTAAAACTTACTTTCTGCTAAATTAATTATCATGATATTTTCTACCAAAATGTGCATTTCAGATGCCCTCGATTTTTACCACCTGTTGGTTGTTTCTTTAGGTAGACATGGGAGTATGAATGGATTAATTTGGCACTATGATAGCAAAGTCCTGTATACAGCTGCTTTCGAAGTTGGGTTTTTAAGCACGCATAACACAGGACACGAGGAACATGATGACATCATCCTCACCTTCCTCGGGCTAGACGGTCTGTTCAAAGTTTTAAACTCAACAATGACAACTAAACACAAGAATCGTGTTCATTGCGGGATTTAACCCAACATCGTACGACACTAGCTGACGATAACAACGCACAACCAGTATTTGTGTTCTTGAAGGCACTCCTCACTTTAAAGAGGATTCACAACATGTAAAGTCCTGGTAAAGTTCTTTGCTTTGCATTGAATTAAACCACATGTTTCCTCGCTTGTGCAAGTCCCTGTCAATTCCCTTGAGTTTCATTCTTGCAAACGTACTCCTTCGGGATACTTCCATGAGGCAATGCTCGTGGCATCCAACTTGGAGAGGAGGATAGAGGGGCTTATGGTTGTTGTTTCTGGTGTGGAGAACTCAAAACCAATTGCCATGCTTTGCTTTCTTAGTGGACAATTAAAACAAGTGTGGAAATGTTAGGGTGTGGTGGCACGAGATAAACGAGTTGGTGGCTAGAGACATAAGGGATGTATCAATGGGTATCGAGCAAGAGTGCGAGGAGCTGAGCTTCGAGCGGTGGGATGTTTGCTGTGGGTTTTGTGGAGTGAACGGAGTAGTCCTACACCTGGAGTCAAGGGCGGACCGGGAGGGGGGCATGGGGGTCACATGACCCCCACAACTAAAAATTGGATTTTTTTTTTTTTGACAGTGGAGTGGCAGAAAACTTGACGGTAGCTTCAGGAGCTTTGGCAGTTCACCAGCACAGAAACCACGCAAGGGGAAAACAAAAGGGTGAACCTCTGTAAATTTACATGTTTATATTTTGCTTTTCTTGTTTTTTGATTTCCATTTGGTTAATTATTCAAATAAGTATATTTGTCTAAGCTTTAAAAATGTAAAATTTATCAAGGTTCAAAATTTGTGTTTGGGACCGAGCCGATGGTTTTATTTCTCTATCTCGGCACCTTTGTTTTGCGAGTGATACTTTTGGATACATACAATTTCGATGATGGATTGGACTAATAAGAAATGGGTTATGGATAGGCATTGATAACTTTGACGACGAAAGTAATTATGAGAGTGACAATATGCTTATAAGCTAACAAGATATTACGCATATCATATTATGACAAGGAGTATGACTACATAATTAATTTTTTTTTTTCTTTAGCTTCAAGTCCTCTAGATTGAATTGTCTCTACACTGTTTGGAGGTTTGTATTTCTTTTTATTTTCATACAAATAGGGACTTGTTTGATAAAATTACTATTTGCTAAAAAATTGGTCAATTTTGAAATTTACTCTTTAGTGTCGAGTAACTTATAGCATATTTAGCTGTTTTCACTTAAGTAAAAATCTTTTTTTGAAGATGTAATATAAATTACTTTGCTATTTAATAAAGAGTCCGATAAATAACTTAGGTCCTGTTTGATTGATCCAAGTTTTCCATGGAAAATGGAAAAGGAATTCCATCTTCCATTTTTTGCATGTTTGATACACTTTTTTTTCCAGGCAAATGATTTTCTTGATTTTGTATCTTACGTGCCATTTTCAATGATTTAAGGGAAGGTGAAAATTGGTTTTACAGTTTAGCCCTTTATTTTAATTTTTTTAAAATTTTTTGGCAATGGGAACAAATGTTAGACCAAATGGTAAAAAAAAATTATCACTTTAATGGACAATTTCCATGAAAAACGAAGTCAAACGGATACCAAACTTTTGACATTTTTTAGGTGAAAAATTATATCAATCAAACACAATTAATTACAATTTTCAGTAAAATAAATTCTAGACAATT